AACTACAATAAATATACATAATATATCCAGATTATTCAGCCAAACATGCTTGAATGAAGATATTATGCCTAAATATATCTATTAAACAGGGAATATATATATATATATATATATATATATATATATATATATATATATATATATATATATATATATATATATATATATATATATATATATATATATATATATATATATGTGTGTGTGTGTGTGTGTATGTTATTGTGCATGTGTGTATTCGCATGTGTTTTTGAACATAAAAATATAGGTCCGTGCTGGATTAGATAATCGTTATATTTATTTTTTATATGTTTATATTTGATTTGTAACCTGTAGTCGATATTAAATTTGTCAAATTTTCTCAATTACAAAGCGGCCCTTTAAGTAAACGCAATTTACCTTTCCTTCGCCCCATCTCACTCCCACACCTCGTCTTTCCCTCCCTCTTACTCTAACATTAAATTGTCTATGGTGTGTGTATGTCACCACGAAATGTATCTTTACACTTCTGACAACATTCATTTTTCTCTTACTTAAACCCCTTCCACCTCTCCTAATATCCTCTCTGTTAAGGTGTAATCTCCCTCCCCCTCACACTTACACTCTCTCTAAATTCCGTTTTTATTTCCGGAGTTGTTTTTTGTTGTTTTCCTTTTGAATTTGTAGGTCTGATGAATTGGATCGTATTTACGATTCCAATGGAATAAATTATGACCATGGAATATTAGTGTTTAAGCCTTTTTTATTATATATATATATATATATATATATATATATATATATATATATATATTAGACTCTCCAGTAGTTTTTGACGTATGAGGGTCAATCAGCTCAGTTCTTAGAACCAACAACTAGACTACTCACAAATATGATTTGATTAGAGAGATGAAGGCTTGTGCACAAAAAAAAAAACAGACACTTATTGGAAGAGCCGAATACAGTGTTGTCCCTGACCGCTCACCACAAAAGTCGGTCTTTCTCGATCCATAGTTTGTGGCGCCACAGATCCTGTCTCAGCATTGCAACGATAAACAGCAGCAAATGTTAGCGGACTCGGTTGCAATCGATCCGGAAACGCAATCTGATACAGCGACGTAGCCTCGCGTCCATTACCAGCCGTATGTAAAAATCATTTCTGCCTGCTCAGGATATGAATATACGGCCATTGTTAAATGGAACACTTCTCATTTAACTCACAACTACACACGCTAAATACTGAAAACACAAAAGCCGTAAATGTACACGAATGCCAAATCTAACCAAGTCTAAAAATAAATTGACCTAGAAAACTTTTTTAGGGAGACATACATTAAGAAGAAAAAACAAGTTGGGATAACGGGTAAAGGAAAGGTAAATAGAAGGTCAAATTTAGCAAAGTTACAATGTGTCAAAATAATGTTTACAAATGAGGCTTTTAAAAGTAATGTCTGCCTTGATTACATCATCATCATATGATACAATCATCATCACATACTACTACTACTACTACTACTAAAAAATAATAATAATATAAAAAATGATAAAATATAAGAATAATATATAATATAAATCATAAATATATACATAAAATATATAACAAAAAATGTTAAGTAACTAAAAAAACTCCAGAAAATCATAATAATATCTATATATATATATATATATATATATATATATATATATATATATATATATAAATATAATAAATAAGTAAAAATAAATTGTTGTGCCCTGTTTAAGGGCTAGAAAAGAAAGACACGGAAGATGAAGGTAGGTTGAACAAGTGTATTACTATGCTAGAATTTAATATATATTATAATATGTTATAATATATATTATAAGATGTTATAATATATGTTTTAATGTTATAATATAATATGTCACAATATATGTTATAATATGTTATATAATATAATATATATTACCATGTTATAATATAATATTTTTAATTTTTCTAGTAGATTTGTTCCGCAATATTGAATATGATCCACCATTGTACTGTTGTGGCCTGTTTAGGGGCTAGAAAAGAAAGACAACGAAGATGAAGGTAGGTTGAACAAGTGTATTGCAATAACAGATATATACAAATCAAGAGTGTTAGTGATAAGCAGATAGAAGAGTACGACGGAACGATCGGGTTACGCTGTGTCTTGGATGCTCACACACGTTAGTATTTATGAAAGTAGGACGAGTTCATTCTACTGTAGGTGGGTTACTCCAACATAAATACAAATAATAATAGTAGCATTTAAATTATATATATATATATATATATATATATATATATATATATATATAGAGTTGTGATAATAAATAATATATATGATGTAAGCATCTGCAAGACAATTACATAAATAATTAAATACATCGCGTGACTTATATATATATATATTTAACGTTGTTATTTTATAGATACAAGTATTTAAGCAAATGCTCTGTTTATGATAAACAGTATTAAATAACATTTACCGGCCTGAATGTCCGAGAAATTTTCATAGAAAATATTCGTTCTTTGACAGGATTCGAACCTGCATCCTTATACGGAACCGTCATATACGCTGGCGTGCCTTACCTCTAGGCTACAAAGAACCGTTCGGTAAACAAGGTCGAATTTACTGCTTATAAACTCCAATCTTCTATGAATCTCGTACATTCATAACTGCTCTGGCGTATCAAATGTAAACAAATGACGTCATATATTAAGAAATGGACAAGGTCCGACAATTTATTTATTAAAGACATTTTTTTATGTTTAACGTTGTTATTTTATAGATACAAGTATTTAAGCAAATGCTCTGTTTATGATAAATAGTATTAAATAACATTTACCGGCCTGAATGCCCGAGAAATTTTCATAGAAAATATTCGTTCTTTGACAGGATTCGAACCTGCATCCTATACGGAACCGTCATATACGCTGACGTGCCTTACCGCTTGAGCTACAAAGAACCAATCGGTAGACAAGGTCGAATTTACTGCTTATAAACTCCAATTTTCCATGAATCTCGTACATTCATAACTGCTCTGGTGTATCGAATGTAAACAAATGACGTCATATATTAAGAAATGGACAAGGTCCGACAATTTATTTATTAAAGACATTTTTTATGTTTAACGTTGTTATTTTATAGATACAAGTATTTAAGCAAATGCTCTGTTTATGATAAATAGTATTAAATAACATTTACCGGCCTGAATGTCCGAGAAATTTTCATAGAAAATATTCGTTCTTTGACAGGATTCGAACCTGCATACTATACGGAACCGTCATTTACGCTGACGTGATATATATATATATATATATACATATTACTCAGCAAAATATCCAAAATTACCTCATGTGGGTATAGTCTATTTCAGACTATCAGTATTTATGCCAGTTTTCCTCAGCCTAGACTAACTGTCTCGGAATGGGGGTTTTGAGTTCAGTTTAGACAGCAGTCGATGAAAATGTACGGGGTTAGTTAAGGGAACGCCTCATTTTGATAAGGAGTCTGGTGACAAGGAGATTGGCCGGAATGGGAGTTTATTTATGGCCAAAGCTTTTAGTTGCACGCAAAAATACACATACACACATATATACGAACATATGTACACATATATGTCTGTACCCATATACAATAGGAACCAAAATCACAAGTGCATCTCCATCAATTCAATGTTTTACGAGAATTTGTATTTTTTTGAAAATAACTTCATTTCTTTGGTTCAATAGTTGGCCAGTATTTTTGTATCTATTTATCATGATCTTCTCCTCTATGCATAGATTACATCTATTCCGGAAGTGCTTGGGAGTTTGAGACAAAATCTATCCCATTTAATCTGTGTGGTAAAGTCTCTATCTTTAAGTCTCCAAAAATGCTTAGAACTGTTTGGTGCATTAAAGAAGCATTAGAGAAGGAATGCCGGTGATTGTAGAATCTCTGTTTCCAACTCCCAGCGCAGATACCGATGTATACATTTTATCATTAATATTTACTTTTGGAAAGATGGTAATTTTGTATACAACATTATCCAAATAACAGACACCTCCATCTGGGCAGTTGGTTTCGGTTGTACAATTGCAAGAAAGCTTGTTATTTTGTATGCTACTATCGTAAAAAGATTTTATTATTTTATTGTTAGTCAGTCAATAATATTATACACGTTGTTTGTACAGGAATAACAAATTTTTAGTTTTTTCTCTTGAAATTCTTTTGTAGAGGGTTGTTGTGATTAAAATTTTTATCGATTAAATTCAGAAACTATTTGATCTTTTTATAAGATCCATTATTTTATCTTTTTATAAGGTCTATTATTTTATCTTTTTATATGTTCTCACGTTTTATCTTTTTATAAGACCTGTTATTTTATCTTTTATAAAGTCTATTATAGTTTGCTCTGTATCATACATTGAACTCTCCTAAAATGATCATTCATGCCTTCAGTAATGGTACAACATTCATACTCTGGCTTCCATCTTCAAAGTCCATTCAAGAACCATCAAACGAACGCTGAATAAGTTTTTAAAAAAAGCGGGAACAATAAAAAAGAAAACTGAATCAGTAGGTCACAACAAAAAAAACGGATCATCATTTGAACTTAGAGTTAAAGAGGTTATTTAGAAAAGATCCAACTCAATCCGTAAGACGTTTGGCATGTGGGAAAGGAGTTTCAGCTATTACAGTCCAAAAAGCAGTGAAAAGGACTTGAAAATGAAATCGTACGTGAAATGAGTGAGGTAACTTGTTACTCCAGGACAGAAAATTAGAAGGTTAGAGAGGGAGAAGATCATCTTGAATAAGTTGGAAAATGATCCTTGAATAATATATATATATATATATATATATATATTTGAACTTTATTTGTATCTTTCATCAAGGTGTTGTTTTTTTTTCTAAGACAAAATTGTTGTGTTCATCTAAAAAGCAGGCATTGAAGGCAGCACCCAGAAGCGACAGTCAGTTTCATGACGATCACGATAAGCATGAAACAGACTGTCGCCTCTGATTGTTGACTTTAATGTCCACTTTTATAT